GCAAGGTAAATTGGAGAGCTAAAGTACTGGTTTACAGTTAAGTTAAATAATGACTGTCCAATTTTCAGACAGCTGTTCAAAGTAAAATACACGTGAAATGCACCTTGTGCTTTCCTCATTGATCTAGACTCTGTTCTTTGTAAACCAGAAAAAGATCAGCAAGAATTGCAGACTTTTATCACCCGACACACTTAATGTCCCCTCCCAGCCTAATGCCTTCATCCATGCTTGATAAAATATTTCAGTCTCTTAACCAAAAGCACTGCACAGTGCAGGTTGCAGGAGTGAGCCCTTCAAAGGGAACCCTTCTTGTTGGAGCATCTCAGCTTGAAGTGAAGCATTAATTAATTACAAAGAACACAGGATTAAAAATGGTTTGTTACATAGAAGATATTTCTCCTTTCTTATCAGACATTTGTAACACTGTTCTTCGTGAGAAAATTCTTACTAAAGAAAGATCAGAGTAAATTCTTGCTATAGGAACTTTATTCTTTGCAAATAACAGGGCCAAATTACGTTTTAGAAACAAGCACTAAGGCTGGTGTGAACAGAGAGAATTTTGAGAACAAAATTAAGAACAAATACACATAGGACACACAGACCTCTGCTCTCATAATTTTGACACCAGTGATTTTAATGATGCACAAAATTATTTTTAAAACCAGATAAATTGAATCTATTTTTCACAAGAGGAAAGAAAATAAATACTAAAAAAATACATGATTAGATATTAACTCCCCTTGTTTGTGGTATGGGAACTGTGGAAAGCACTGCCAAAGCACTTCAAAACATTTCAAGTATCAGTCAAATAAGGATCCCAGGAAACTTGTAAATCCTGTTCTTAAAATGCAATCCACAAAGCTTTGATAACAAAAGTATCCCACTTGTATGGTTCTCCTCGAACTGACTGTGCTGGCCCCTGAGGTTTAAGTGCTTTCATATCCATATCTTTTCTTCTCTGGTCTCAAAAAATTGTAGAGATTTTAGACAACACTCAATCATTGCAAAAGAATAGAGTAGATCCTCTTCAGTAACTAAAGAGCAAAACTAGAAGTGCATTTCATACATCTTAAGCTTCAGTAAAACTTCTGTTTAAGAGCTTGTTAGTTTAAATTTGCATCACTGTCACATACATGCTAGCTGGAAGCTGCCCTTCAAACATTGGTTTTTGATATTATACAATAGAACTGCTAATTTCTGACTATGAAGTGCTGTAGGCTGGATATTTAGAGCCTTACAATACTGATATTCTGAGGTTCATTGACTTGCCAGACCTGAAAATGCCACACACAATGCCTTATATTGCACCCAAACCTGCAGAACTGATTTCTGCTCTGAGATGCACTTTATTGCTGGAGTTTAGCATATATGTTCTTCACTTTTAGTGATCTATAAATGTCAATTACATTTACAAACTGTGAAGCACACATCTGTTCTCCTATTTTTTTCCCACCCATACATGTACAGATCTTTGTAGACATAATTCTGTGGGGTTTGAACAAAGCAAAGGAACCGACTACTCTTTGCAGCTGATAGTGCAGGGGTGGTCAGTTTTGTTTCCACATCTCTCTATTCCTGACCTCAGAGGGATTTTATGTCACACTAGTGCTACAGAGCCTTCTGCCACCTCAGTCAACCAATCTCAAGTCCTGCTGGCAGGTTCATGAGAATGTAGAGATGCCCTCCCAAATGCAAATGTCTACTCTCTGGTTTTAGAGTGGTTCAAAACCCTGCTTGGTTTCCTAAACCAAGGCAAATTTCAAGGAGATCAAAAAGTTTTTAAATAGAGAATATTATTTCTAATATTTTAACCTGAAATTCGCAGAATATCTTCTTTCTTCTTGACCCAAAGGTAACAATTATTGACTCAAACCAACTAGATACATATTTAGCAGATTTCAGTAACATACTGGACATTGTAACATTGCTCTGTCTACCAAGTGAAAGGACACAGATTTGGGTATTACGTACAAAAGAGCTCTGGGGGTCCTTTGCCAGATATCTAGACTATTCTCCACAAGACAATGACAGAATGTCAACATCTGTTCTAATCAAAGCTCTCCAGAATCATAATGCATAAAAGAAAACCTTCATTCTTGGGAACTTTTTATTGCTTGCATCACACCAGAAATGAAACACAAAGATAAAAGCCCAAACAAATGCCCTCCTGCCTTGCAGAACACCCACCCACCACCACCACCCTTAGTTCTAACAAGTCAATCATATTCCCATTGAATTTTTTATAAAGGTGAAGACAAAATCAAGATCACCTCATCTGTCCTTGGGTTGACAAAAGAATCATCAAAGATTATGTATTTGTAATGCTCAGTTTGGTCCGTAAATATTGATGAATTTGATTCACCAGAACAAACAGAGCAGACTACAAACAAATTTATTTAACTTTACCTTTTAGCATTGGACACTCCAAATGCAGATTTTTGTTGTCTCTTTTACAGACCAGCACTTAAATTTAGTTGAAACTGAAGAGCAAGTTTTGAATAGTCCTTCTAGATTTCACTAGCCTTCAATCATAGAATCACTGAATGATTTGGGTTGGAAGGGACCTTAAAGAACATCTAGTCCCAGCCCTCTGCCATGGGCAGGGGCATCTCCCACTAGACCAGGTTGCTCAGAGATTCATCCAGCCTGACTTTGAGCATTTCCAGAGATGGGGCATCCACAGCTTCTCTGGGCAACCTGTTCCAGGTCATCCCCACCCTTACAGGAAAGAATTTCTTCACAGTATCTAATCTAAACTCTTTCAGTTTGAAGCCATTCCCCCTTGTCCTGTCACTACAGACTCTTTTAAAAAAGTCCCTCTCCATCATTCTTATAGGCTCCCTTCAGGTACTGGAAGGCCACAATTAGATCACCCCAAAGCCTTTTCTCCTCCAGGCTGAACAATCTCAATTCTCTCAGCATTTTCTCATAGGACAGATGCTCCATCCTTCTGTTCATTTTTGTGGACCTGCTTCAACAGGTCCATGTCCTTCCTGTGCTGAGGACCCCAGAGCTGGACACAGCACTGCAGGAGGGGTCTCACCAGAGGGGAGCAGAGACAGAATCCCCTTTACTTGGCCAACTGCCCAGGCTCCTTTGGATGCAGCCCAGGACACGTTTGGCTTTCTGGGGTGCCAGTGCACATGGCTGGGTCATGTCCAGCTTTTCATCCACCCGCACCCCCAAGTCTCTCACTGCTGAGCTGCTCTCGATCTGTTCATCCCCTACCCTGGACTGATAACAGAGTTCACCCCATTTGTTCCACACTAAGAAAATCACAATGGATCAGGTGTGTAGATGCAAGAAGATTTTAGTGGATGTTTCAGTTTGTACATAGGTGTTGTCAGAACAACAATACAGTTAAACAATACCCTCACAGTCATCTCAGTGATCAAATAATAGAGGCACATAAAGCTCACAAAGCTAAGCACTGAGATTTCTACTAGTGGAGTATGAGCTGCACTAAGCAAAAGCTTTCACGTTCTAAAAATAAAGTTAATTTGATTAAAACATCATGGAAACAAAGATGCAAATGTCTAAACTAATTTCCTATTCCTGTCTTAGATGACTGGTACCTAATCTTTATGTAACTATGTATTCAAGTGCAGGAGGAATAGATCAAAGAACTACTCCTCCCCAAATTAAAAAAAAAAACAACAAACCTAGAAAAACAATCAATAATTGATTCTGGTTTAATTAAATATTGATATACTTGATAAAACATTGTCCTTCATCAGTTGCAAACCCCAGTACAGCTGCTAGCCCTTCTAACAAGGACAGAATACTTTCTTGATACATATTCTCATTTAATATACAGATTGCATTACGGAAATCATTTGTATGGAGCTATAAGCCTGAGACAGACAACTTCACTAGTCCTTTTTTTTTCTTTTAATAAATAAGAGATGCCTAAATGTACTTTCAACCTTTTCTCTCTGCTTATTTTCTACTATTAGCCAACTAATTGAAAGGAAACAATTTAAGAGAAAACAAAGCCTTTCAAAAAACCAGTATTTTATGCTTTAAAGAGCAAAACCTAGTACTCTTTCCTGCCCGTATTATCAGAAAGCTTCAGTATGTTTCATGCTAAAAATATTCCCTTCTTCAAGATCTTTGTATGTTTCTTTTCCTTTAGTTCAGAAGAAAAATTGCTCCACTCATGTACATAACTTACTCTTTAAGCATTTCACTATTTTGGGATGCTTAAGTAGGATCTTGGAACTCCAGAGCTGATTTCACTGAAAGGAACAAGAGGAGAAAATACTGCAATAGACAGTGGTGGTCTTTTTAAGAGAGCACTTCTAGGCACAGAATCCTATTAGTACTTCCCTCATGAGGAAGAAATATTCCTCTACAAGATCTTCATTTGACTGGCAGCAGTAAGAACCTAAAAAGAAAACTGGTCCTACTTACACTGACCTCTGGCAAAAAAATTAAGCTAGACTTGTCTCCTGAGTCAGCTCAGAGAACAACATCCCATACTGCTTATTCAGCAGCACCACAGGCTGACACTGTCACCCAAGTTCCTCTGTCCCCACACTTGTCCTCAATAGTCAGCTGGTCCCCAACCTGAAATCACATTCACTAAAAAAAAAAAGCCTTTAATTGCTCAATTATGCTGTATTATGCAGCTCTCACCCACTAACTGTCCACAGAATCTATGGAGTTGGCTTTAGTAGGCCTATTCTTACGGATGTGTGTGAAATGCAGAGTGGGGGAAAAAATTCAACTTGGTAACTTGTCACACATTTATTACTTGATCTTCAGTGATTTCACTTGACAGAGAAGCCTGACAGCACTCCTAGACTTGAATGGGAGAAAGGAAATTTTGTAGTCATGCAGCCTGCAGAGTTATTTAAATTTTCTCAGATTTTTGATAGTTTTGACCAGAAAAAAAATTAACTCCCAGTTAGTGCACTGAGAGAAAAACCTGACTCAGCCCACCCAAGGTAACATTTGGAACATTCTGTTATCTAGAAAGCACATGAAAATAAACTTGCCTTCTATAAAGATCCTGTTCCAGTAGATTTTTCCAACTTGATTTCCTCCAAGAAATATTAGATTTGATAAAATCAGCATTGAAGTGCTAACAGATGCTAGGACAGCATGAAGTCGCCGACGAAATCTTGGCGAGAAGAAACGTTCCTGAGGGGCAAACCAAAAGGTGCAGATGAAGTTAACAATCCCCGCAAATTTCCCAGCAGCATTAGAAAAAGACATTGCCATTACAACAAACAATTTTCATACAGAAGTTCAAATCCTTCCAGAACAGATCCCAAATATTTTAAAATATCTAACAGAACCTCTCACCAATGCCATTCAAATTTGAGTAAGGCTCCCTGATTAAAAGCAGTCTCGAATCACAGTGATGGCTGGAAGTGACCTCTGGAGGTTATTTAGAAAGATCAAAGCAGGATCAGCTAGAGAAGGCTGCTCAGGGCTGTATCTGTTTGGGTATGGAATACCTCCAGTGATGAAGACTGCTCAACCTTGCTGGGCAACCCCTCAAAGTAAAAGAGATTTTTTTGTGTTTAAATGTATTTTTTATATTTAAATTGGATTTCAGTCTGTGCCCCCTGCCTTTTGTCCTGTCACTGAATATCACTTAGAAAAGCCTGCAGTTGGGGATTTATACACATGGATAAGACTCCCCTGAGCCTTCTTCCCTCCAAGCTGAACAGTCCCAGCTCTCTCAGCTTCTCCTCTTATAGCAGTGGTTTCATTCCCTTTACCATCAGTCCCTTGGCTGGGCTCACTGCAGAATGTCCATGTTCCTGTTGGGGGGAGCCCAGAATGGGACACAGTTCTATACATTCACTGGAATCATTCTTATTTTACAAAATATGCTCCTTGATGAGTTTTTGATGACAGATGTGAACAGTAGCAATGTACTTCTAGGTTGGGTGATACTTCCAGTAGGATCCAATATAGAGTAAATCACTTCAGTATACAGCAAACAGCATCAAACAACTTCAGAAGTCATTAATCCTCTGGTTAATTAATAAGACATCACTGAAAGATTCTAGAATCAGATTAAATCTTGTTATAGCAATAACGTTTAACAAATAAATACCTCCTTAAAAAAAGGTTCACATATAGGTACAATCTCAAATTTTCTTTTCAGTGCAAATGTTACTGCTCATGTTCAAGAAGTGTAATTATCCAGATTTTGTTACTGTTGATAACTGGTCCTAGTGATACAAATAAAGTAGGTCTCTCTCCACCATATACTAGTTTAATCAGATTTTTCTGAATCTGATTTTGCATTATCACCTGAGGTGTGAGTGCAGCATGGAAACTGCAAGAAGTTGGTAAAAGAAGGATGAAGAAGTTTTAGCTTCGTCTATTATTCAGTTGCTAAAGGAAAATTTAAAGGACATTACAGCACTTCACCAAGAAATATTGTATTATCACTGCACAAGGAAAAATATCCTGTACATTGTGGCTCCAGGCTGAAAGCCTCTGTACATGGTGCTTGAATTTACAAAGATTGAATGCTTTGTATGAAGTGATGAGCGTTTTCCAGGGCATGGAAGAAAATAAGGGAAGTATCAGGGGCTGCTCAGCCTTCATGTCATAAACAGTGACGTTGCAAAAACAAAGTCTTGTGACTTCAGCATCCAAAAAAAAGGGAAAAAAAAGAGCAGTAATTAATCTTTAATAGCTACAGGCAGACCAGAACTCATGCTCAGATACCTGAAACAACATAAACACATGCTCAAAACACACCTAAAAAATACATTTCTAGACAATTAGATTGCTCCTCTGTAAGCATCAAAACAAATGGTTCAACTACTAGATTATAAAAAGACAAATCTTCCAATAAATGACAGTTACAGGCAGAGAAACACAATTTCAACTTATTACTGCAAAGTAATCTCTGGAAAATTGAACATTAGCCTTGGTCAGAACTATATCTAGTATATGAGTCAGTCTGAGTCAGCACAAAAATGAGGACAGATAAGGTTTAAGGATAAGTGCTCTATATCAGTACGTACAACAGAGCAATAGTCAGTCTTCCATATAATGCTATGAAAAATAGTCATGTATGAAAAGAGAGACTGAGATTTTTCTCTGAAAATTCTGGATGAAAATTAGGGCATGATAGGAGAGAGGTAGAGAATGTAACAATTATATAAATATTCACAGACATAGACAGCTGAGTTAGTGAAAGAACTTTTTCCCTTTGTAGTACTTCACATCTCCAAAGCTATCCAAGGACTTCCAATACATTCTCCTGTTCACACACACATAGAGGACAGCTTAAGTTTGTCTCTTCCTGAAAGGTATGATTTGAATGTATGGTCACACACATGAAAAATCTATGCCTTTTCAAAATGTGTAAGTGTGGGCACACAGAGAAAACATTTGAAATCTCACTATGAAATCCATGTTAACAGCAAAGTTTAAATAAGGACAAGTTATGATCATGACGGCTTGAATTAACCTGCAGCTCAAAGAGGGCACTTTCTGTCATCAGATCTACCTTTCACTCTCTCTTTGTCTATCAACCTTATTTGTCAACTCTAAAAAAAAAAAAAAAAAACAGTTTTAATTAAGAAAGGAAAAAAATCCTCTGCTAAAGCAGTATAAAGAGTTGGAGATGGATAACCCATCAGACAGCTGGTGTTTAACTGCATTTTCCATCAAGGTACTGATCATTCTTGGTAAGTTTCTAAAGTTTGCCTGTTTTACAACCCAAAGCAGTACAACTAAAACAACATAAATAGCTAAAAAAGCTCTGCTTTTTTTTTTTTTTTTTAAATGAATACAGTTACTAAAAAAATAGATTAAACTGTCACATACAGTACATCACCTTCTACAGAAGTGCTGCACGGTAAACAAGGCAAGTTAAATGTAGTATAGACCATAAAAGCCCTTAGCCATTTATAAGGTATAAAGGAGCAGTTTATGACAGACACAGTTTAGACAATCACTGAATCTTCACTGGGTTTTGCTGTAGCTAATTTCCATTAGCTCTGCTAGGCATTGATCCAAAAAGAAGTACACATTTTCCTGACAGTCTTTGATGTCAATGCAAATTTTACTCAGCTGCTATAAAAGTAAAAAACAAAACTTTCTTTAAACATCTCAAGCCATCTAGAATAAGCTAACTAGGAAAGTACCCAGGCAGGTAGTGTGCTCAAATTAATATATTGGAAGCATTATTTAGCAATGAAAAAGAAACGCGGTTGGTCTAGATAACCCATAATAACAATTTTATTTATATACCTACAAGCTTGTAGATTTTGTGAATGTACAGCAAGTTGTTTACACCAGAGCAAAATTTAAAAAACCTTCAACACCCACAACTCTTCATTATGCCATTTAATGCTTTTACCAATATGCTCCATTAGAGCAATATAAACAACTGCTATGGATTTGTGATGTTTCTCTGGATTTTACTGCTGTCTCTTTCTCTCTCCTCTTTCTTGTTGGAAATACAGTCAGAAGATAGAGTGGCAGTCTTGTGTTAAAATTACAATGAAACCATGGCTGCCTGGCTGAAACCCTGATTTGCATCCCTCCTCGATGCTCCATCTTATCATGTCACATCAATACTTTACCATACTTTACTTTTAGCATCCCCACCTCCCCCACACACGGTGAAATAAATGGACTGTAGCACCTCAACTGCACAAAAAACTAGACATAGAGTCATGATACTCAGCCCAAATGCATACAGCATGACATAGAACGTGACTTGCAAAACATTGGTTCAGGCAACCTTTCCTGAAGCTGAATGGAGTTCAGGTTATTATTCCAAACCCATTCCTGCCGTACATGAAGATCAGCCTCAGACATTTTTGCCAGATGTTGGAAAAAACTTCCCTCTGAACATTGTTTGGTCTAGCAAAATTGACTGCAATCAGAGCTCTCTCAACTTTGCAGCCTTTGCAGCCATCTCAGAAAACTAAATGGTACAATGATGTAGTGGGGCACCTTGACAAGCAAATCTTACATGTTTGAGAGTGGAGGAGGAAAACCAGTGTGAAAAGAAATTGCACAGTCCAAACATTTCCATTCCTAAATCTATTTCCACTTACATATGCATGTCATATTTAGCCTCTAAGAGGAAACCAAGCCAGAAATGGAAAGCTTGTTTAATGGTTGTCTCTGGAGAAAGCTGATGAAGGACAACACAGACCAGGACAGATCATTTAGGTGAGAATTGAGAGTTAAGGTAAAGGACATGGTGTAATTTTAAGTTAGAGAGAAAATACTTATTTAATTTTCTATGCAAGTTAATTATACCACTATGAGCACAAAATACACAAACATGGCAGGAGAAGTGGCTCCAGGCAGTAGAGCAGAATTTAAAGGAACTTCTCTCTAGGGTCAGTTAGAGCTACCAACAGTAAATTCACATTTTTGCAGGACTGTTCACAGTGATATCACTGAATGGCATGGAAAGATTAAACTGAGGGTCCAGGCAAATACATTTAGTTGTCAGAGTTAGCCAACAACAGAGAAAATGCTGTGGGGAAAACTAAGTAATCCAGCCTTCCAGATGGAAGCTGGTAGTGACAGGACAATTCACACGCAGTGACAGGACAAGAGAGAGTGGTTTCAAACAGAAAGAGTGTAGCTTTAGATTAGGTATTAGAAAAGCATTCTTTACTGTGAGGGTGAAGAGGCACTGGCTGCCCAGAGAACGTGTGGATGCCCCAACCCTGGAAGTGTTCAAAGCCAGGATTGATGGAGCTCTGGGCAACCTGATCTAGTAGAAAGTGTCTGTGCCCGCAGCAGGAGATTGGAACTGGATGATCTTTAAGGTCCCTTCCAACTCAAACTATTCTACAATTCTATGAAGCTGAGGAGACACCCAAGACTGAATTCTGTAGAGCAGTCAAAACTAGCTGTAGTCCTGTACACAATATCAGCCAGTACACAATACTAGTCAAAACTGCAGTCCTATACACAACATCACACTTAAGTTTTTTACAAAAATGGATCCCTCAGTATTTTAACAGGGAAGCAATCCTACATTTTCCTACATCAGCCGCTCTTAAACTTTTTCTAGCAAAAAATGGTGACAATCATGGTGATCTGGCATATCCCAAAGGCTGGTTATTGAGAGAGCCACCAAATCCAACTGCAGTGGCTTTTTCTGGGAGCAGGTCCCAAGCATCATGCTGGGTTAG